GTAACCCATTAGCTAAAAAAGCAAAAGGTTACCCCCGGGCTCTAACTCAGATAATGTCTTCTCACTGGCTCTAAGTATTGTAAACTGGTAATTGGTCAGATGGTCTTTGGTTCAGACATGCCCATACTTGGTTTCTTTGAGAAATAACAGAATGTTATTTTGGAAAGGCCCTTGGGAAATGATGTTTATGCAAGGTCACAGAACCCTTTCAAAAGCTAAGGTTTCTTTACTCAAATGAACGATGAGGTAAGGGTTGCCCTTAGTGCTCCAGATAACCATGTCCAGAGGCTAGCTGTGAAAGAGGTCCTGCCTGCACCCAGGTTACATATTAGGTGAGAAAGGCAGTAATTAAATGAGTGAGGAAACAAATCACAACTTGGGCTGAATGCCAGGAACACAGATAAGCAACAGCACTGGAAGAATATTTTAGTTGTGGATAATGTAACAAGTTATCACAAAGTGGCTTGAAAAGTAAGAGAAATTTACTCTCACAGATTGGGAAATCAGAAGTCCAAATTGAAGTTGTCTTCTGGAGGCTGGAGGAGAATCCTTTTGACAATTGTCATTTCTTGGCTTCAGCTCACCAATCCTGTCTCCATAATCACACGTGTTTTTTTTAGTCTCTAATGAGAAGACACATGATGACAGGCAAAGCCTGTATTAGTTACTTTTTTTCATTGCTGTGACAAAATATTCTACAAAAGCAGCTTAAGGAAGGAACATTTTTCTTTGACTCTCAGTTTGAGAGATACAGTCCAGTATGGCAAGAAAGGCATGGTGACAGAAACATGAGGTGTTGGGTCATATTGCACCCATAGTCACAATGCAGAGAGATGAATACTGATAACATTCTCCATTTCCTTTAGTCTAGGATCCCAGTTCCTGGGATGGTGCACATGTATGTGTTCAGGGTGCATCTTTCTTAATCAAACCTGTCTGGAAACCTCCTCAGAGGCAGGCCCAGAGGTCTGTCTCTCAGATGACTCTAAATCCAGCCACAGAGCCCATTTTTATAATTCAAGCCATCTTCAGTCAGCACTGAGGACAACCCTTTGACTGAATCTGAATCAGGGAACACTCCTTATCCATAGATTTTATATAGCAAGCATTGCAAATTGCTAAATTGGGGGTAAATCTTATGTAATAATAAATATCACATTCTCTGTATCCACCCCAACATGTAGACGTTTTATCTAAACACTTTCCAAGTTGACTCACCTTTCCTTAATTGTAGTCTACTATCACATTCTCTGTATCCACCCCAACATGTAGACATTTTATCTAAACACTTTCCAAGTTGACTCACCTTTCCTTAATTGTAGTCTCTACTCTGATTGACCCATCATTTTCTCTTCGAAAAGCTACGATAACACCCTCCTAATTACACTCTACTGACAACCCTTTATGGCACTGTCAGAGTATCTTTATAAAATGCCAACCCTAGCATTGGGAAGAAGGTTCATTCAGTCAGGTATCTTCTGTACAAGCAATAAAACCCAAGTTCAATCCTCAGAGTCCAAGAAAAAGCCAGTGCATCTGTATGTAGTCCAAAATCTGCAGAAAAGGGGAATGCTGACAGGTTGATCTCTGATACTCATTGGCCAGCAAGTCTGATGGAATTGGTGAGCTCCTGGTTTGGTGACAGACCCTGGCAAAAATAAAATGGGGAGTGGTGGAGAAAGATACTTGATGTCAACCTTTGGCTTCCACACACATCCACATGCTTATGTACTACACACTACATGAACTCATAGATACACCACACATAACAAACACATATGTGTACATAAAGTAAAGAAAAAAGTGAATCTAACCGTACCAGCTTCCTGCTTCTCACTTTTTAATGACTATAGATCCTGGGTTGGCTCTGTAAAATTTAGCCCTCCCCTTCCTCTCCAGTTCTAGGCTACTTATGTGCCACCCACTTTCAATTCAGTCACATTGAATATTTTGTTGTTGTTGTTGTTCATGTTTGACATGTTTCCTTTCTCTGCAAGTCTTTATGGATAATAGCACTCTTTCTTAAGGGTAAATTAGTACCCTCAATTAAAAATCAAGTTAATTAACTGCTTATTTATTTGTGTGTGTTTGTGTGTACATGTGAACACATGCAATGGGGTCATAGGACAACCTGAATGAGTCATTTCTCTCCTTCAACCACATTGATCTGAGGGATTGACCTCAGGTGGCAAGTGCCTATACCTAGTGAGCTATTTGAGCTATTTCTTGGAATAATAACCTCAATTTTTATGAAAACTTGTTACAGAGTCAAACATGATAATCATAGTGTATCGATGAGTGATTCTATCCATTTAGTTTTGCTTTTCATTACTTGTTTCTT